AGTTTCAGCTGCATAGAAGAGCCAACTACTTTAAATAGTGGGGAAACCGGTAATTTAGCTTTTTCAATTAGAAATATTTTCTTTTTAAATTTATAATTAATAATATAAGTTGTTTGATCTTGTTTTCGCAACTTGGTCATATTATTAGGAAGACTTAGAGGAACGCACCTAGTTCGGAGTCCATTGCATGCATCATCATTTCCAGAGTAGGACCTTGGACTTGAAACATTCCCATACGTTTCGCCAACATCGAGAGTGAGTCTTGCCATTCGTAGCACCATATTACAATTCGTCAAAGAGATAATACGAGTTGTAATATGGTGCTACGAATGGCGATACTCACTAACCATACAGAATAGGATGGCTGCAAAACGTCTGAGAATGTACCATGCCCACGGTCCTACTCTGGAAATGATGATGCATACAATGCACTCCGGACTAGATGCTTTACTCTAAGTCTTTCTACCAATATGACCAAGTTGCGAAAACAAGGTCAAACAATTTCTATACAACGAAAGGAGAATGCGACCACACAATAGGTCACACCATCTTGGCGTTCATACTTTCGATATAATCAATACTGTTTCCTATTCTACACAGATAGTAATATTTAAATATCCTATAATTTATATTTCCTATGCTTTGTACTTTTCTAAACTTTCTAAACTCTAATTACCTCTTGTATGCATTCGTAATAACTTGGATGGATTTATATACATTTTAAAACCAATGTTCTTTGCTCAAGCTCTATCAAATCAGCTTTTATAATGCCTGCCCACATCTTTATTAATTTTTTACTCATTTTATCATCATCTCATAATTATCTTGTATAGTGTGGTTGCATTAATTAATACATAATATTTGGATGGGAATAAAAATGGGTCATTGATAAACTCAAAATCTAGCACTTGATACATTCCCAGACGTTTCGCCGCCATCGTAGTCGGCATCATCAGTGAGTTTTACTATTCGTAGCACCATGTTACAACTCGTCAAAGAGACAAGTGATGCTGATCCTTTGACTAAACGTGTGTTAAACAGTTACGGTATCTCTCATTCTGCCCTGGTTTATTCGCATTTCCTATATCCTTCAATCACGCCTTCATTT